ATTTATTTTTCAAGCTGCAAATTTAATGGTTTGTCCCAGGGATTAAAATTGATACATTGAAGCAAAAGATAAAAAAAAATTGGCTGGATCAAGACAGCTACATCCAAATAAAATGTGCCTTTTCCACAGCTTGCTCAAACTTCTGGCATATAGTCTCGACAGTCTGGAGTTGGACAAGGCATGTTTCTTTAGTTGGGTTTATATAATTGTATAACAAACATCACTATTTTTCCCATGATTTAAAGGATGAAAAAAAGTGAATATTTTAATCAATATTTTCTAGGCCCAAGATTTTTTGTTTATTTTTCTAATTTTAGAATTAGGACAGAGATCATTGTTCTGGCAATTTGTAAATGTTGGATTGTGATGTTGGCCTATTCGTGTTTGCACCCAGAAAAAATACAGAACAGAGTCTGGGGAAGATCATTTTAGTTAGTATTCAAAAAAAGAGAATTCATTTCCTTTTGAAAAGTGCAAGCAAGGAAACAGAGGAGTGGCTTTGATGGCTTTCCAGTTGGTCTAAGACTAAACAGATCTTCAATATTCAGCTCATATTGCACAGTTCTAAAGTCAAATATAGCCTGTTAAAGGGTTCAGTCATGGAAAAGGAAATTTTTCCCAATAACTCATCTCATTTAATTTTCAAGAAATTAGGTTAAATAATAAAGGTGAACTCAACAGTGCTTCATTGCTCTAATCCTTGGTGTTTTTAATACTGTGGAATATAAAAATTGCTGCTATTCAATTAAGTAAGTTACACAGAAAGCAGAAACACTTTTATAAGTCAGAGCTATATTGCAGAAATTTTGGGACATATGCACCATCTGAAAATGGGATAATCTTATTATAGTAAAAGAAGACATCCACTAGAATGATACATTAAACCTTTCAAGAAAGTATTTTAGTTGATTTATTCTTTGTCTTGGATCTGATAAGAAGGTGTCTAAAGTAGAGAAATATGTTTATGTAAAAAATGGAAATGATTGAGTTCTATCTTTAACTTGTTCATAAACCTTTATATATGGCATCCTGTTTAGTGTAAAATGGCTCTGGCAGTCTTGAATAGCAGTCTCAATTGCCTTTCCTGTTGAATAGGTTGGGAACTGCTCCCTCTTGGTATGAACTCTGACTGTTTGTGTCACGGTCTACTTTGATGTCAGAAATCATCTTCACTGGTGATTTTTAAATGTGGTGTCCCTTTAAAATGCGATACCCCGCTGGTATCCCTATTACCCAAACAATAATATTTTAAGAAGAGAATGCATGACATTTAGTCAGGGTTTTTAGGGTATCCAACACCTGAATAATTGTACCCATTAAGTAATTTCTCATCATCCACCCCCTCCTACCCCCACCTACCTGAGTCTCTATTGTCTATTATTCCACATTCTACATCCATATGTACACATTATTTAGCTCCCACTTAAAGTAAGAACATGCAGTATTTGACTTTCTGAGTTTTTTTCACTTAAGATAATAGTCTCCAGTTCCATCCATGTTGCTGCAAAATACATGATTTAATTCTTTTTATGACTGAGTAGTATTCCATTGTGTGTGTATATATACACCACAGAAAATGAGAAATTATTAAAGAAGAAATATTCACTGCAAAACTTACATCTGTTTTAGGGAGAAACCAGAAACTGGAAACTTGGAATGCAAAGGATAGAGAACAATGTCTTGTAGCAGTGTCCTCTTTATTTTTATTAAAATGCATTGAATCATAAAATTATAGAACTGGAGGGGCCTTTATAATCATCTAGTCCCAACTTCTTATTTAATGGAAAGAAAAGACCAAGGTTAGGATGTCCAAGTGGCAGTTTGTGGTAAAGTTTGGATGATAAGATAGGTCCAAGGGTCAGGAGGTAAAGCCTTGTCTACCATGCCAACACAGTGCACTGGGACTTCTTCATTATACCTCTTATTATTCTTTTATCTCTTTCACTTTCAGAGTATTTTTTCACACACATAGAGATGATAATTTAAGAATATACTGTGTAAGCCAATTTTTATTGATTCTCAGGTTTTCGTACCAGAAAAATGTCCTATAGTATGTACAAACACTCATAACCAAACTTGAATTCAATCATAGTGACAGAAGTCAGATATAAAAATAAAAGAATTACATCAGTTGTAATTCAGAATACAGGAGGATTGCCAACTTATGACTTAAAAATCATTTTAGGAAAATGTATTTTCAAGAGGCCATTAATCAGATGTTCAAGTTCTAATTCATCAAGAGAAGTATTCCTCATGCACTAGAGATAGAATCTGATGGTTTTGCTAATTCTTTTTTTTTTTTAGAAAGCAATGTGAGAACATAATTTTTATTCACATAGTGTTAAGCACCCACTTCTAATGCAAAAACACTTAATGCAAAACAATAGAGAAAAATCCATTTAGTCCAGTTCACGAAGACTAGCCTAAGCCCTAGGAGCGGCGCCCTGGTGCCCGTGGCTATGTCAGACCAGGGAGGGCTTAGAAAACAAGTCAGTCACATTTTTCAGTCTAGTCTGACTCACAGCGCAGCACAGATCCAGACCTACGTGGTAGCACAACTGAGATCAGGGAACGATAAAGAGAGTCATGTAAGAAAGTACATGCGAGTTCCCATTTCAGTGGGAAGTCAGATACTATAACCAAGCGAGGGATTCTCAGTCGGGGAGCCAGGTCCCAGCCTGGTCTGTCACAGCGTTGACCAGTTAGTCTTTACAAGACATGTCATTTTATGACCATGCTGCTCCTGTCACCAGCTACACAAGGAAATTAATTTGCCACCTCTATATCGAGTGTCCCCAAAAAAGAATTAACAAATTATTTCAAACTTATTTGTTACACACCACACCGTGGTGGATACGTTATTTATAGTCTCTCAATTAAAACCATCTATGGAGCCTGGTAAGATAATATTTATTAACGTTAAAGTATACACACACACAGAAAGCCCGTTGCCACCCACTAGTGCATACACATATTCCCTACTAGTATGAGACTAAATCATAGCCTTGTAAAGACGGACTAACCTTAAACTGAAAAAAAGGATTATTTTGGTTCAGTATCTTCGGCCCCAATTTGCAAAATCTTTTCCTGGTAGTTCTGCCAAGGTTCTAACCAGATATGATCCTCAAGTCTCAACTTGAACTACTAGTAAATAATTTTTAGCTCCTTAATTCTAAAGCTCACGAGGTGTTTTAATAGGCAAAAGATACCAAAAGCAAGTATAGAAATTGGAACGTAATTGATCCTAGGACCTCAAACATTGAGCTGATATTTTCACACTGATCTTAAATAAAAATAGCATTTAAATGAGCTGGAGTGCCATTTGACTTCAAGTATTTTCTGCTTTCCATGCTGTAGAGTCTATTCTTTAAAGTAAAAACAAAATAATAACATTTTAATGTGAAGCCTATTAATATCAATTCACTAATTTTTCCAGCATGTCAGCCATACTAACCTCGTGAAACATCTGGTCAGAGGTTAAAGATAGAGCTTTTAAATCAAGACCAAATTTTAATTTAACCACCACCTATGGACTTGGACATTGAAACCCCTTATTTGCCTCCTCCTGAATGTCCTACTCTTTTGAGGCTCAGTGTCTAAGGTCAGAATTTCAATATTAAGCTCAGAGTTATAAAGAAAAGTTCTAGTTAAATTCTTGGGCTAAGTTCTAGTCAATGCCTTTGGGGGAAAAACAACACACTATTAATTGATTAGGGCAAAAGACCCCAATTCTGGTTCCCTTAACCACACCATTCTCTAAAACGATAACTGCAGAGCATGGCTGAAAACCCAGACTCCAAGAATCTGGAGCCAAACTCGTTTGTCCCTCCCACCTGAGCAGTTTTGGACCATGCATTAGAAAAGGTGTAGGGAATGTGAGCAAATGACTTTGCACCTTAGTGAAAAGTTTTTGGGAAGGCCTAAGTGTCTGAGGTAACAAGGAGACAAGAATTGCTCTGGGTTCTGTCTAATATCAACCTCAAACTACCAGTGGACAAGAGTGGAGTCCCTAATAATGGACATGCCCTCCCCAGAGTCTCTTCAGTTGGGTGGTTCAATAGCAATTGGAACCACAGAAGAGTGATGGGTCCTGATTAATAGGTAACCCTGCTTTCCATTGCCTGGTTTTGTATGGATACCTCTTTTTTCAGTGAGAAGCACGGTACTCCACTCCACAATATACCCACAAGATCTCCTTCTCCACTCTTGTTCCAATTGTGTTCCTTCACACAGGAACATTAGCACCAGAATCTTACAATGCCCAGAACTACCCATTGCCAGAGTTGTACTAAGTCATTAGAAATAAAAGGTTTTACTGCTAGATTTGCATTAGTGCGGTTCTTAGAAGATCAGCAGAGAGGCCAGATTCCCATAATACACTGATCGAACATCAACAATAATCACAGAAACCAAGGATGTACATCTATCCATGGATAGCAGTTACATATCCCCTTAATGCCTGGAAACAAGTAAGATTTTTAAGTGTGTTTTTATAGTTAAGTTAGGGTAAAGGAAACATTTTCTCTTGCTGATCCTAGTTTTTATCGCTTACCCCACTGAACCCACTCCTAAATAAATGTACACATTTATACAGATAACACACAAAGTTCAGTGCATGGATACATGACCTTTTATAATGTTTCTCTCTCTCTTTTTTACATACTTTTAATCTTTAACTTCAAATATACAATCTACTCACAGTAAATACACATTCGTGGAACAAGAACTGTAACACTATTCTTTCATCAGCTATATCTTGAAATAGCATCGGTGGACTTGAAAGGCGACAGGCTAAGAGTTGGGGAGGGGCCCTTGTTCAGTCTTCGTATTTGGAAGTCTCTGTCTCTCCTTCCTCTGCAAGGCCTTTCTCAGAAAACACGGGTGGTTCAGAAGGAAACAGTCAAACCCACAAATCTCTCCTCCTAGGATATCAGCATTCTTGTTGCATAGGATGTCATCTCAAATGCTAGAGCAGCATCCAGTTCAGAACCAAAGTGATCTCAGTGCTGGTGTTCCATTCGAGGCAAATCAGGCTCTGAGTCATCTGACAGGGGAGCTCCTGATACCTGATGTAATGCAATACTGGGGGTGTGGAAGTCAACAGCAGCCAGAGAAGGAATTCGAGATTCTGAAAGAATTTTGTTTTCTTTCTTTACTAGCTTTGGATTTCGAGCTTTGCCTTCCAAGGCTCTTAGTTCAGGGAGATGATTATAGTTTAGTTCAGGCAAACGGACATCTGTCTTGGAGTATTCTCTTCTTTTCTTATTTGCCTGAAGGAGGCCCTTTTCACTAGAGACTGATGTGTTCACATTAATATTATAAATGCTTGATGGGGAATGTTTATTCTGTTTAACAAATGGAATACTATACTTCTTAGTTTTCTCATCCACTCTGTAACTCTGAACTGCTGGTATAGTCGCCACTCCAGAATTAATCCTGGGAACAACTACAGAAAGGTTGTGCGTAAGTAGGGGAATTGCCATGCCTGGGTTCCTTGTGTGATCCGTGGTGACATTGCTGCCATCTCTGAGGCTTGTTGAAGGCACTGTTTTGACATAGCTGGCCCCATTGTCATGGAGACAGCTGGCATTTGAAATTCTACTGCCTTTTTCAACTTTTTGTCCATCAATTTTTGGCCCTTTTGTTTTAAATACTTTATAATCCTTAATTTTAGGATCAGCATTGGTATCCTACACTACAAGTGTTTTTCTTTCTTCACCTAAGGAATCATCTTTTTCCTTTTCCTTCTTTCTGTTTTGGGATTTTTTAGATAAAGAAATATTTCTGGCATCTTTATGTACTTTTAACTGTAGTTCCTGAGAAAACCTCTCAGCAAATCCATCCATTTGAAAAAATCATGGTGTAGGAGCTCGGCACAGAAGGGCCTTTTGTCTGGGTCACTATGTAAGCATTTCTTTGCTAAATCTATCACCACATCAGGAAGCTTAGGATAGCGTCTTTCAAGAGGTTCTGTTTCCTTGATTTCAGGCAATCTTACTCCAGCAAACACAGGATTTTTATAGAACAGCTCCTGATGTCTTGGAATTAGATTACCTAAACACATCATAATATGATACAGCTGATCAATATCAGAATCTCCAGGAAATAGGGGTTCCCCCATGAGCATTTCAGTTACCAAACAACCAATGGCTCACACATCAACAGCCTTGCCATACTTGACATCACCAACCAATAGTTCTGGAGCTCTGTACCAGCTGGTCGCCACGTAATCAGTATAGACCTCCCCAGGAGCTGCCAGAGTCCGTGCAAATCCAAAATCACATAACTTGACAACACCAGACTGGGAGACTAATATATTCTCTGGCTTTATATCTCTGTGTATGATATTGTGACTGTGACAGAATCCAATTCCATTAATAATCTGAAACAAATACTTTTGAACTACTTTGTAGTCTAGTCCATTTGGAAAGAGCTCCAAGTCATCAAGTACTGTGTGGTCAACAAATTCAAAGACTAGGTACCATCGTTTTTTTTTCTTACACACTTCCAACATGCCTCAGTTGCTTTAGTAACTTGATTTCTCGCATTGCAATTTTTTTTACCATTTTGTCATCATCACTTTCTAAGAACTTCTTTATGGCCACAATTCTTCCACTATCTTTATTCCTACACTTCATCACCATTCCATAACTTCCTTCTCCAACCAATCCTAGGTTCTCATATTTTTCCATTTTAATTTAAAACCAGCAGGATCTTTTTTTGTGTTTCTTCAAATCTTTTTGCATGGAAAGACCCAAAGGTTTTCAGCTTGGAAACAATTTTGGGGTGAAACGCATCTCTCTCATGGGTCTCGAAGACGCTGACTAACACACCAGCAATTCCAGGGCCGCCGTGCTGTCCTCCGCGCTCACAGGCACGGTCCTGGCTGAAGCAGGCAGCGGGGCGCAGGGAGCGCGGCCCGCCGCAAGCTCACTCTTAGGAGGACCACGGGCCGCATGCTGTCGTCTAGGCAACGACCTCACTCTGTCCCCACCATAGGCGCGAAGTCTCCAGAGAGAGACACGGCCCAGGTCAGAATGCATCCACGGCAGGCGCCTGTCAGGGCCAAGGCCTGTAGAGAAATTAGCTGGCGTGAGAGGGCACCACCTCCCAGCTCGGCCGGCGCCCCCCGCGAGGCCGTGAGCCTGCATGGCGCCTGCCCGGTTTTGCTAATTCTTTATAATAGGAACAGTTAACAGGGACACAGTTGCAGTCAATAAGCTGTCTCCATAATTGAGTCTTAAGCTTCTGAATTTGTCAACAATAATAAAGGGTACAATTAGAAAGTAACTAGGGAAACAATAATGGTTGTGCTTTTAATGAAGACTGAGACTGTTTTACAAACTCCCTGCAATTAGTTTTTGTGTGCTAGCAAATCTTTTGTGAGTCCTACAAAATTATGGGCTATATCCTGTCTGAATGTTATTGATGCCTGTCTCTAATATACAGAACAATTAAGAAAGATAGATAAAGAAATAGGACTGGTGAGGTAAAAATAGAGATAATTGAAAACTAAGAAGAGTCATTTCCATCATCCAAAAAGTGATAATGGAATTCAGCATGTAATCTGCTATTATTCATCATGTTATTCTGTGATCTAATACCAGATTAATCAATGGAAGATTTCATCCATCATAATGGACTTAATGTTCCTCACAACCAGAATCACTGTGGGAGGTTAGATTAGGGTCAATAAGTTCCTGAAAGATTCAAACATTATCCTCGGAAACATTAATGATGTGTATATTGGATCATGCATTTGGCCAATTATTCTACTTCAGTTTTATGTGAACAACTACATCATCACTACACATCATTTGACAGAGAAGAAAAAAAAACATAATTGATTTAATTAATGAAGTTCAGAACAACTGATCTTCATAATAACTTTCGGATATAGACCGGTCAGAGATCTCTATACCCTTTTGGCTAGATGAAGATTCCGAAACTGAGAGGTGAAGCAACTTGCCTAAGAGAAGTTAAAGGTCCTTGTCTTCCTATGTCACATCTTTTAATTTTCTTTAGTTGCTGAATTTCACCTCAAACCAAACATACTTTTGGCTCCAAATTGAGTTACAAATTCTATTAAATATCAAATACTGTATTCTTATATACAGATTTACAATTTATCTTTCAATGTGTGCAACATAGCTACAACTTTCTGAATTTAAATAAAGTTTCACATTTCATTGTATGTTAGATATCTTGGGGATATTCTGATTCATAAGGTACTTGGTTGAAGGGTGGCTTATTCTTAGGGAGCACTCTTCATAGTTTTCAGAAGGTTATTTTTCAGATTTATGATTCAATTTTTTTTTTTTTTTTGAGACAGAGTCTCACTTTTGTTGCCCAGGCTAGAGTGAGTGCTGTGGCGTCAGCCTAGCTCACAGCAACCTCAAACTCCTGGGCTCAAGCGATCCTCCTGCCTCAGCCTTCCAAGTAGCTGGGACTACAGGCATGCGCCACCATGCCCGGCTAATTTTTTCTATATATTTTTAGTTGTCCGATTAATTTCTTTCTATTTTTAGTAGAGATGGGGTCTCGCTCTTGCTCAGGCTGGTTTCAAACTCCTGAGCTCAAACAATCCACCCGCCTGGGCCTCCCAGAGTGCTAGGATTATAGGCGTGAGCCACCGCCCGGCCGGCCTGTGATTCATTTATTAATAGAAAGGACGTAGGAAAACTTTTCCTTCAATTCAATGTCAATCTAAAAGAAAATTATTTTAGTGAATTGACACTCAGAGTTTTAATGAAAGTAGTTTTCTGCCACAAACCACCCGTTCAGGGCGTTGCAACATTAAAAACAATTCAAAGATTCAAGCAAATCAATACTGAGGTCTAAAGTGTTGATTGTTGAAGATATGGATTACCAGAGCCAGGGAGCACTATTTGAATAACTTTATCCCCAGAGGAAAAAAGGACAACAAAAATGGGTTGTATTAGAATACTTGCAAATCTTTCATAAATATAACCTCCTTATCCTTGAGGGTTCCTAGATTCCATGAAGGAAAATTTCTTAAAACTCCTCAGAGGATTTTCTAAAAATGTCACCTTGCTTTATAAGTTAGATCTGCTCAGTCTGGTCTGGCACTGAAGAACAGACTAGTTACAATTTTACGGATGGAGTTGAAAATTGGTCCATTTTAATGGCTTGAGAAGGATGTTGGACCCAGGTCTGAGAGCCTAGGTGTTTGGAAGTGAATTTTTGGTCTTCTCAAGACAGATTATTCAAAAATTTTCTTTGGGTTTTAAATATTGATACTAAATTTATTAGAGTTAAAAAACCTAATTTTTCCTTTCCTTTTGAGTTCATAAAAATGTTATTCAACTTAAAAATCTAATAGATTTTAACAATTCTTAAAATGACTTTTAAATAATGTATGGCCCCATTTACCAACTTAGTCAATTGAACACCTTCAAATATTTTAAACTACATTTATACATTTAATATATAGTACGCATCCTTTTCTTAGGTCTTTTCATTGTCTTATATCAAAGCCTCCAGGGTATTAAATAATTTTTATAATAAATTGAATTTATATACATAGTGAACCCAAAGTTCTCTTAGATATTAATAGTTTTAAAGAATGCAATAAAATTCCACTTAAAATCATAAGTATAATTAATTATTCAGGTCCATATTTTAAATTGGAGTTACAAGGCTGTCACTCTAAAAGGTCAAATTCTTTTAAAATTGCAAGTACATAGACATCAGATATATACGAAATGATAACTTGATTCCCTCAAACCATTATTTTAATTCTAAATCTTCCCACATTTAAAAAATCTGTACTCACTAAAGAAAATAGTCACCATTCCAAATTCCTGTGGTTACTTAAAACAGGAGATATCGGCCAGGTATGAGATCTGAAGCTACAAGTCTTTGGGGCCACCCATTCTGTCATTCTGAGCCCTTTTTGTATAGTCACTGTATCTCAGACAACTCTGGTTAAAAGGGAATGGGTCTCCTAACTCACATTACTTATTGGTTTCTCAGAGAGATTTATCAGTGCCCACCCAAGCTGATCACTTATAATTATGTACTTTTTAAGATATATTGTAAGGCTTAGTGCCCATGCATGGACACTGGAGCCAGACTGCCTAGGTTCAAATCCCAGCTCTACCACTTATTAGCTGTGTGACCTTGGACAAGGAGCTTAAACTCTCTGTGCTTCAGTTTTCTAATCTTTAAAATGTGGATAATACTAGGAACTGCTTCATAAGTTTGTCATGAGAATTAAATGTGTTAATATACATAAAAACCTCTGAATAGTCCCTGGCACATAGTATGTGCTATATAAACAGATGTTAACTGTTGTTATTATTACATGTATTTTCTTTCTAACTTTAATGATCTTTGAACAGGATATTTTCCATTTAATTTTAAAGACCTTTGAACTTGATAGTCTCTAGCAATGATTCATGTTTATAGGACCATACAATTTTCTTATGTATACAAAATTAACTTGGATATAATTTTAATATTACTTTGGATTTTTCCCTTATATGGTCAGAGGTTAAGTCATTCTACTGACTGGTTTTAGGCTCAACTTTATGCACTTACAATATGACTTGCTTGAGTCATTACATTCTCTATGCCTCAATTTCCTTATCTGAAAAGGGGGATAATAATCCCTGGCATGCCCTACCTATCTCATTCAGTAAGTACTAAATATTTATTGAGCACGGACAATGTCCTAGTTACTAGCCAGGGTGGGGATGGCAGGAAACAAGTGGTGGAGAGAGGAGACATAATGAATGAGTAAATTATATATTAGGAGGTGGTAAGTGCTAAAGAAAAAAATAGAACTGGTTAAGAAGAATCAGAAATTTGCAGGAAGGATTTTGGAGGCTGGTTATAATATTACACAGGGTGATCAGTGTAGGCCTTACGGTAATGTGGATTTGAGTAAAGACTTGAAGAAGGTGAGAGAATAAGCCAAGAGATATCTGGGGAAGAGCACTTCAAACAGAAAGAATGATGTATTAGCTTCCGCTGTAGCAACAAACAACCCTAATTTCCCCGCCTCTTACAAACACAAATATTTATTTTTTGCTTATGTTTATATGGCCCATAGGCACTCCCACAATTCTTCCAGAGACTTCCTCTCTTTAGATTTAATTATAAGTATTTAATTATTTAGAATTAATTACAAGTATTTAAACTTATCAGGGGCTGGGAAATATATTCCACTATAGGAAAGTATGGCAAGATTAGGGAGTACGAAGAAAAGAGTTAACACAGCAGATCTGGTTGTTTACTCCTTGAATGTCTACAAGTGTTCTTGATTTATTTTTGGCCAATCCTTGGGAATATAGCTCTCAGAATGTTCTTTATATCACTGATGGATTGATTGTTGTGTACACCTTCAGAAATAAACCATACCATACCAGCTTGTCATGATTGCTTTGCACAAGCATCAAGATTGATGATGTGCACCTGGTTTCATTGTTGAGGTCCTGAGTTTCAGTTGCCATGGCTGTTTGCAAGTAAGATGTGTGTATGTGACCAACCCCCCTTATAAAAAGCCTCAGGCCCTGAGGCTCAAATGTGTTTCCCTTGGCAGAATCATTCCGCATTTGTCTCTGTAGATTGTTGCCAGAGAAAAAGGCTGTCCCATGTGGCCTTGGATGAGGAAGGACATCAGAAGCCTGTGTTGGGCTTCTCTGGACTCTGTTAATGTGTATATTTT